GTAAGGAACCTCCGACAATGTTAATTAAACTGCCACCAAAAATTATGCGAGGAAGTGTAATCCCACTAAAAGTGAGAAAAGTACTAATTTCCTTAATGCCACCAATATGTTTAGAGACGCTGGTTTTAATGTCTCTGTTTATCCTTATTTGCGTTGTGAGGTAACTTTGGTAGGGTGGAATGCACCAACGTAAAAGCAATGGAGGAGGCAGGTTCAAAATACAAAGAGAACAAGTTTTATTGTTAACAGAGCGTAATTGTTGCAAATATTAGAAGTTGAACTTGGCACAAGCTCGATGGTTACAAAATGGCTGGGTTGAGATACATTCAGGCTTCTGATGTTACAATCCTATGAACTCCTTCTTCAGTGAAGTGCTTTATTATTTCAGTGTTCCCTATTGTGAATATCTACACTGTTTGTCCTATACCGGATCAAACCACTGATCCCCAGTCTTTCTCTACTGGCGATCCTAAAACCCCCTCTGTTAGATTCTTTTCAACCCAAGCAATCTAACAAGGTTTCACCTTCAGCTCTCTTGCTGAAGAAATATTCACAAATACTAAGAACTAACTGAATTCACACTGCTTCACACCACAGAGCCCTAACTGACTCTGCTCCTCTTCTCAGGGTCTCATTCCTCCTGACTACAGACTCCTGACTCCTCTTCTCAGGGTCTCATTCCTCCTGACTACAGACTCCTGACTCCTCTTCTCAGGGTCTCATTCCTCCTGACTGAATATTAACTGTCGCTTTTAAACCTTTTTCTCCTTAAGCTCCGCCCACCTCCTCTTAGGCCTTGTCACCATGGCAACCTATCTCTCACAGTTAGGCCATAGCAACCAATGTAAAACCTAAATTTAGTTTAAACACAGTATAATAAACACTTTATAATAAACATTTCTCTACACCCTCCTTCTTTAAATTTGCCCCGTGAGCAAATTCTTCCTTTCTTCAGTCTGATCATAGATGGTCTTTTCTTCAGGCAGAAGTGGCTTGTTATTAGCAATCTTCTGTATTATTTCAGCCTTCCTCCTCATTTCTTTCAACACCTGAATTCTCTCCTGGTAACCTGGCTTCAGCTCTTCCTTTTCGGACATGATGAGCAGGTCGATGTATTCTGGGGTGGAGAGCGGGTTGGGCTTCAGGGCGATTTCCTGTAAGCGGCAAAGGCTCTGGGAAGATTGCTTGATAAGATCTTCCAAGATGTGCTTGACGTCTTCATACTCTTCCCTGAGTATTTCAAAAACTTTCGCAGTGGTCATCACCTCACCAGAAGCATGCTCATATTTCTGCTTCAGGTCTTCATAGGTCTTTTTCTCTTTTACAACTTTATATGAAAACTTGTACTTTTGGTTGTAGTGAATATTCCATGCACATCGGCCAGGACACACCTCGCATGTTTTTGTATTGGAATCCATAGCTGCACAGCAGTACTTCCAATCATCTTCGGCAATTGTACAAGGATAATGACAGGTATAATGACAATTCATGCAATTGGTTATGAAATTCCCACTTCCAGAGATGTCCTCCTTCACTGGGATAGTTTTATCCACCTCGTACTCAAAGTTCTCGTTGGCGGTCATCTCATCCCTGTGCTGATCCAGAGCTTGTTGGGTCTTCCTCAGCTCTTCCAGTTTCACCAGTCCAGCTTGGATCTGGGGCTCCAGACCTTCCACAGCAGCTTCCAGGTGTTTCCGTTCTCGGAGGACTTCCTTTGTCAAAGTCAGACTTCTGGTTTCCAAGGCGTTGGATGAGTCAAAGAAAGTCTTCATGCTCTCACAGCCCATTTTCCAGAACATTTCATCAAAATTAAGGCTGCCCCCACTCTCTATCTTTTTGTTGGCAAAAAGGGCAGAATTGTTGAATTTGAAGTGGACGGGTGCCCCATCAGCATCTTTTGAATACGGCACACCACCTTCTTTAATAGCTTCCAGGACAGGAGGGGACTGCCCATCAGCAAAAGTGACCAGGATTTGGATGTTGTCCTTTATGTCTCTTCCAAAAATCGAGAGGATTGAGTCAAACACATATTTCTGGGGCTGAGTTAAGCGAGCCAAGGAGGCCTGGACTACAATGCAGATGGCATCTATATGATCAGGATGTTTTTCTCCTGGGGTGGAGAAAAATGTCCTGATCTTCTCTGTGATCAATTTGTCATGCTCGAGTCCTCTCGTGTCCCCAAATCCTGGAGTGTCAATAATGGTGAGAGAAAAAGGAACTTTGAAGCCCTTCTGATGGTTCACCATGTAAGCAGTTACTTCGGAGGTCTGGCTTTCAGCTTGGCTCCGATTGGTCTCTTCATGAATGAGTTTGAATCGGAATTTGTCTTCCCATTGGACACCCAAGATGTAGTTGATCATCCCATTGATGAGGGTGGTCTTCCCTGACCCCGTTGCTCCCATCACCATGATAACTTTGTTGGAGACCCTTGGGTTCTCTTCCCCAAGACAATATGTCAGACAGGATGTTGAATCATCTGATGCCACCTCTAGTGGAAGAGCATAGATTGATGGTTGTCCTTCTACCAGTAGCCTACTCTTTGGGAGGTATTTTTGAACTAATCTGTCCTTCTCAACTTCATCCAGGGATGTAGAAACCTCCACCTCTTCACTGGGAATACTCTGAGTCCCATCGGCACACACTGCGGACACTCTGAGTCTGTAGACCATCTGAGGATTCAGCCCACTAATCTGGAAGAGTTCTGTTTTTCTCCCTGTCCTTCTTTCATTCCATGCATCTTTGCTCTTGATGTTTTCATGCCCAGTCTCTTCTCTGTACTCCACTTTGTACTCTTTTATAACAGCTCCCACTCCAATGACACTGGGACTTCCCCAAGCAACAGAAATCATGGACGGTTCCACAGTTACTTCTCTGGGTTTCCCAGGAGGTCCAATGGGAAGGGTCTTCACAGACTGGGTGATGTTGCTGGTCTCACTGAGGCCCGGCTTGCACCTAACAGCGTATTGGAACTGGTACTCCGTGTTTGGGCTTAGACCTCTTAGTAGGAAGGTCTCCTGGCTGCTCTCCGTGTTCACAGTCTTCCAGTTCTCTTCTCCCTCAATCCTGTACTCTACCTGGTAGCTGGTGATATTCTCTCTCCCGTATTCGGCTGGTTGAAAGGTCAGCTGGACGCTGTCATGTCTAATTCCATGGACAAGAAGAGGGAGAGGTTTTGAGGGAAGGTCAAAGCTGCAACTGACCAGCTCTCCATCTTCATAGAAGTAAACAGAAGCTCCTGGGTTGTCCTTGTCTGGGACGGAGGACACAACAAACGCAGCTTTCCATTTGATTTATTGAAACGGGAAAAGTCCGAAATGGATCTGGCAGCTTTCCGAGCTCTTTGGGATATCTGTTTGCACTCAAACCAGGCCTGGCATTCGGAGTTCGCTTTTTCTTCCAAACCTTCTTTATGAAGATAATGTTGTAAATTGGCTAAAAATGGTTCCTCATCATGTAAAGAAGTGAATGTAAAGCTGATGACAAATTCATTCTGGTGGTCAAGCACTATTTCATTCAGTTTGCTCTCAGAGGAGAGGACTTCTATCCCACTGAGGATAGCAAGGTAAGAGTTCACAAAATCCATCTCCCGCTCCTTCATCTTCAGAAACTCCTGGAGCTTTTGGCTGTTGAAGGGAGACTGGTTCATGGACCTCAGGATGTCGGCCAGGGCGCCTTCCTCTTTTCCTCCTCCCCGGATGGAAGGCAAGAGTCCTGCCAGTTCTTTCTGGAAGGTCTGCCTGTGCTGCTTGCAGAGGTCCTTGAAAAGCTGGACCTTCTTCTTGATTTCTGGGAAGGTGTTAGCAATGGGATTTTTTCCCAGATCATTACATCTCATGTCAATTTCACTGAGTTCCTCCAGAACTTTTTGGGCATCAAAGATGAGTGCTAGGCTGATCTCTTGCACCATCTTGGCCGCCCTGGAATCCATCTTGGTCAATGGGTACAGCCAAACCATTACAGGTATAGCTTTTGCTCCATCATCTCCCATCATTTTGGGAAGCTCACTGGATTGTTCTCCAGAGAAAAGTCTCCATGGAACTTGCAGCTGAAATGTTCGGTCTGGGATTTTTCTGTGCCATCGATCTTTATTTCTCCTTGTCCCACATTAGATATTGACTGCTTAATCATACCTTGGAGATTTCCCTCTATCTCTTGCACAGACTCAGAAGAGGAAACTTCTCGGTCAAAGACAAAGAAAGCCTGAGCTCCATACAAGATGGCCGTGACAACATGGGTGGCGGTCCCGTGCTCAAAGACACTTGAGTGAGAGACATTTTGGACTCCCAGGTGACTCATGGTCAGCTGTTCATACCTGGTGGTGGCTTTGTACTGCAAGGTGACTCTGGCTTGTTGTTTGGAGGTCTTGCTGTCTTGGAGGAACTTGGCAGAGCCTTCCAGATTAACCAGTCCTCCCAGGAAACTGGCTTTGAGGGAGGCTGAGGCATTGAGGGCAAAGGCCTTGTCCTCAATGGAGTCAGATGCAAGGATCTCAAATTCCGTTTTTGGCTGGGGTCTGATGCTCACATCCTTCTGAAGGGAGTCCAGGTCCCAGAGGGTGATCCCTGAAATGAAGCAGAGGAAAATGGTCAAAGCTCAGAAACACTCAGGGAGAAATACAAAATGCAAGCATCCTAAATGCGTAGCCCTGGAAACTACATAGGACTGAAAATGTTGCTAGGGATGTGATGAAAGTTCATTGCTGTTTGCAAAATACATGCAATATGAAATGTCGCAGTTATGAAATTGCCAGCTGTTTGCTCCAGGGGCCATTAGGTGCTTCCAATGGATTTTAACATCTCACCAAGGTTCTGAAGAGGGATTCGTGGCCATTTTGCTGCACCTCAGGGGCTTCTAATCCCTTCTCTTGCCTGTTCCAAACCTGATCAAACAGGAAGTCACCCAACAGCCCTGAATTCTGTAGGAAACTCCTGGGGGGGGGGGGGAGACACAAAATCCCCTAAAAACTTGACGTGTTCCCTATTTCTTTTCCATATGTTCCTCTTTTTTTTTTTTTTGCAACACACATACACACTTGCAATGGAAAACTGGGATGATAATGTCAGCTCAGCTTGGAATGGAACTGAAGTCCAGAAACTGCTGGGATCTTTTAAAGTGTTTTTGCCTGTGTGTGTGTCCATTTGCTGAAGTGTCCTTGCCCACCTCAGGCATTGAGAGATTGGCCCTTACCTGGGATGAGGGTGTCTTTCCGGCAATCGTAGAGCATTCCCAGCTGGAAGGGTCGGCCCAAGGCGGGCATCACAGTGGAATCCTCTGATAGGGCCATGGCTCAGGTCACCGGGTCACTCTTCCCTCTGTCTCTCTGCTGGAAACAAGAGGAGTGAAGAAGCACAGATTGTGTGGCCAAAGAGGGGAGTGCGAGAGGGGAGCCAAGGGACAGCACCACAAAAGTAACTCCCAGAAAGACAAAGGGTGCTGCTGGCAGATATTGCATCGTAAAGCAATGGCAAGTCTCGTCACTCTTCTGGTGACATAGCAGAGTGCTTCTCAAATTGGTTGTCTATAGACTGGTGCATGTCCCTGGGTCATTGCATATACAAGTCCCCGGTGAATTTCAGGAAAGAAACATTTGGGCCAAAATATGGTCCTGGTCAAAGCAATGGTATTCCCTGTAGTAACCTACGGATGTGAGAGCTGGACCTTAGGGAACGCTGAGCAAAGGAAGATCGATGCTTTTGAACTGTGGTGTTGGAGGAAAGTTCTGAGAGTGCCTTGGACTGCGAGAAGATCCAACCAGTCCATCCTCCAGGAAATAAAGCCCGACTGCTCACTGGAGGGAAGGATACTAGAGACAAAGTGGAAGTCCTTTGGCCACATCATAAGGAGACAGCAAAGCTTAGAGAAGACAATTATGCTGGGGAAAGTGGAAGGCAAAAGGAAGAGGGGCCGACCAAGGGCAAGATGGAGGGATGGCATCCTTGAAGTGACTGGATTGACCTTGAAGGAGCTGGGGGCGGTGACGTCCAACAGAGAGCTCTGGCGTGGGCTGGTCCATGAGGTCACGAAGAGTCGGAGACGACTGAACAAATGAACAACAACAACATCTGGCCCCTAGGAAAAATTTAATTGAAAAATATAATCTGATAGCATGAGAAGCACTGAGATGAAAAGCTTAAAGGGCAGATAAGAACAGTCCACAGTAAGAGAAACCATCTCCTTGGCCCATCAAGGTGCCACAAAGTCCCCTAGTGAAGAGACCGAAAGAATATTATCCACATCCTTGATTAGGAAACAATGGACTTCATTGCATTAAGGCAATTAAATGGATTAAAAAGGTCGCCTGAGTAGAACACTTTCCTATGAAATGGGAGAATTCCTTCCCCTCACCACACTTCCATGCAACTCAGTATATATCCTCATTCTTTGAGTTAATTTATCATCACATTACAGTTCTGAGGTCCCACCCACCATCCCTCCCCCCGCATTATTTGTTGAAAGAAATCCTCCTCTCTTTGAAATCTCAGCCTCCCTCCGTACTAACGTGAGATCTGAGAAGTTTCTGAGCATGCTCAGTTTGTCCCTTTGGGACTATAGGTTCTATGGATTTCCTCCCCTTGTTATCAAGAAATTGGACCTCCCAAATTATGAATTATATAAAATTACAATGAAATAAACACTGCAGCCATGCAAATGCTAGCAGCCTTTTGCATTTCCCTAACTTTTGCTATGAAAACACCTTAGGTATGTTGCCCAATCACAAACAGGACTCCTGCCTCAATCTTCATAATCTCTTTAAAGTAGAACTGCCAAAAGGGTAAACGGAGGGTTGCACAAACCCAACAAGGACCAAGTAGCGACAGCACAATAACCCCAAATAAACAGTTCAGGGGAAGGTCCCAGGAGATTACATGTCTTTACACTAATGCACAGAACATGGGAAATAAACAAGATGAAGTCCAACTTTCAGCACAACACCACACCTACAATGTCATAGGCATCACTGAAACCTGATGGGATGACTCCTATTGCTGGAATGTAGACATTGAGGGCTATAACCTCTTTCACAGAAACAGAACAAAGGGAAGAGGAGGTGGAGTAGCCTTATACGTCAAAAACTGTTATGCTGCAGAAGAGATGCAAGACAGCAACCCGGGAAACCAGCTTGAAAGCATCTGAATAAGAATCAAGGGAACTGGGACTCAAAAAGATCTCACTGTAGGCGTCTACTACAGACCTTGTAGTATAAGAACTTGATGAAGTCTTCTGCCAACAGTTGACCAAACAGGCACAAAGGAAGATATATTAGTCATGGGC